GAATAGTTTGACTTCTTACCTGGGGGTCTGCTCCTCTACTGCTTTGGTTAGGTCTCATGATCAAAGTCCTGCAGAACATGGCTAATGCATTGGTTATGAGCATCAGTTGATCAACCTTTGAGCTGAGCCACCAGCCTGAGCAATAGTGGAGGCATGGAGTGGTGCCTGGCTGATCCAGATAAAAAGTCAAATTATTCTAAAATGGTTTGATTCCTTAGAAAGAAGGAGGTGCCAGGGCACTCCCGGGACCATAACCACTACAGCGTGGTGCTGGGAGTGTTCCTTTAAAGCATTAATAAACTGAGTAACAAATTATATCACAGAGGAAACAGCAAGTGCCAGAATAATTAAAACTGTAAAAAGCTGTAGGCTTGTCCCAGTGTTGCATATGACAGTCACATTTTTACCATAGATAGGATTTATAAAGACATTTGCAAAGTCGCACATGCTTTTCGAAGAACATCCACTGAAGGTTTCAAATTCTGGGAATGTACCTAAATCTGAGAAAGAGGAGAATTAATACAATCTTACGCTATAACATTAATTTAATATTCAGTCTCTAGTGGTGTCATCATAGTTACTATTTCAGAAGTGTATTTAAAGTGAAGCTCTATACACTCTAATCAGGTCATCTCATTGATTGTGGTATCTGGAGTCTCCTGTCACAGTCTCTTTATTTAAAGGGAACCTATAGTTACCCAGACCACCTCAGCTCAATGAAGTGGTCTGGGTGCCAGGTCCTCCAGGTTTTAACCCTTTAGATGTTAATGTTTATATAGCAGGGTTAATCCAACCTCTAGTGGCTGTCTTCCTATGCAGAGTGTCCATAGGAAAGCATTAAGAAAAGCTTTCCTATGGATTGTTTGAATGTGCGCTCGCATCCACTCGGGAGCTGACGTCGGCGGGGGAAGAGAGCCTGGCACTGGAGTAAGGTAAGTGGTTGAAGGGGTTTTAACCCCTTCAGCGCCAGGTTTGTTTTCCTGACACTATAGTGATCTTTTAATGTTGGGGATTGTACCACCAAAGCTCTACTAAACTAGAGCAGGTTTTATGCTCTTTTATATGTAAGTAGGATACTTATCCATTCCGTCTGTATGGTTATTGCACTATTGGATATGTCTGCCTTTTGTCCTAATGTTTCATTTTGCCATTTAAAGATACACCATCACTGCTGTTAAATATATATATCCCAAGATGGGGAATGTACCATCTATGCTAAATACAGCAGAGCTCTCCCTCTCAGTAGCTCTACAAAGTGTGAGTGTGCCTTCATAATAATAATTTTATCTAGTTATTCTGCTACACATTTACACTATTGTTTGCTGTTTTTTTTTTTTTAGATACTGGGCATTATAATACAGAAGGCACCATTTCATACACACATATATATATATATATAGTCTTACTACACTTAAGGGTTAACTTTTTGGGCTTGCTTTATTATCTGTATTGTAATCTTCTGTCTGTCATTTTACCCTATAAGTAGACTTGTGCGTAGTGGAAAAACTCAAGCCAGCCGATTCAATTCATGTGAATGCAATCAGGAAAACACACGAACAACCGGGGACTGGCGAACAAACAGACGAAACAGTCTCAAATAATAACCCAGAGGCAGAAAGGTCTGCCACAAGGTCCATGCTCTAGTTCATGTGAGTAAGATACCTACCTTTTTGTATATGCACTACCATTTTGATATACATATTGCACTACTGGATATCCCAATTTTTGTCTTCATATATTCGAGACACAGATAAAGGCTACCACCATTGTAGTTGAAAATATATCCAGTGACGGGGATTGAACCATCTATGTCCTACACAGCAGAGCTCTTTGTAGCTCTATAAATTGTGAGTGAGTTTTTGTTATAGTACTCTACTTCACTTTGTTAAAGACTTACTCCACTATTATTGTCTCTCTTTTTCCTTTATCTTTGAGATACCATGCACTGTATAACAGCCAAAGACTTTATAGACTTTTAACAAAAGTACATACATACAGGGCCAGATTAAGAGCCCAGTGGGCCTGGTGCTGACAATTATGATGGGGCCTAAATACAGAATCTTATCGACCAAAAACACTAAAACAGTCATACCTCTCAAGCGTCATATATCTGATGGAGTTGGTGTTGGAGGGAAATTCAAAGGATGCAGCTATAAAAAAACACATACTCTATGCTAAACTCTTTATCTAATTTATGCTTTCATCTTTCAAGTAAATCCATACCCCCTGACAGTAGTGTCCAGTGAAGCAGGAAGTCAATAGGCGGGGTAAAAGGGTAGGCCACTGACGTGAATCACGTGACCAGAACTGCCAAAAGGGGCAAATATGCCCAAAAAGGGGGCATGTCTGTCCAAAGAATTGGAAGTCCAGCCTGGCATCAGTGTCCCTATGTATCACAGTGTCAGTGTCCCCATGACGCCCAGTCCCCTAATCTCCCAGTGTCTGTGTCCCCATTTCTCCCAGTGTCCCCATGTCCCAGTGTGTCCCATGCCACTAGGATACTAGGGGACACTGAGAGACCCGGGGACACTGAGACACTTCGGGACACCGGGAGAAATGGGGGCACTGACACACTTGGGGACACTGGGAGACATGGGGGCACTTGTGGATACAGACATGGAGACACTGGGAGACATGGAGACACTGAGACATTTGGGGACACTGGGAGAAATGGGGTCACAGACACTAGGGACACAGAGACATGGGAACACAGACACTGGGAGACATGGGGACACTAGGGACACTGGCTGGGAGGCATGGGGACACAGAAACAGGGAGACATGGAGACACTGAGGCACTAGGGACACTGGCTGGGAGACATAGGGACACTGGGAGACATGAGAACACTGAGACACTGGGAGACATGGGGACACAGACATTTTGGGACACTGGGAGACATGGGGACACTGGGAGACACGGGGACATTGAGAGTAATGGGGACACAGACACTGGGAGACTAGGGGACACTGGGAGCCATGGGGATACTGAGAGCCATGGGGACACTGAGACACTAGGGACACTGGCTGGGAGACATGGGGACACTGGCTGGGAGACATGGGGACACTGGGAGACATGGAAACACTGTGTCCCTAGTGTCTCTATGTCCCAATGTGTCTCCCTATGTCTCTCACCATCCCCATGTCTCTCAGTGTCCCCTAGTGTCTCAGTGTCCCCCATGTGTCCCCTAGTGTCTCTCTGCTGCCTTTCCCTCCATTCTTCACATACCTGAGCTGTAGTCTGTCTCTGCAGGCTGGGAGCTGCTGTCTGGACTCTCTGTGCTGTGTAGCTGCTCCCCCGCGGACCAGTGAGTAGAGAGAGGCAGGGAGGGATATGCTGTAACTTCCTATCCCTGCCTCTCTCCATACACAGTGACCCCTACTGGCCGGTGCTGGTATTGCAGAGTAATCTCCGTTTATACTGAGAAAAATATTTGCATTTGTATTGCCAGAATTACTGCAATACCGTCACGACCAGGTAGCCTCAAATACCGGCTGTGCCTTAAAATACCAGTCAGGTGGCAAACACTGAGTAGTGTGTAAAAAAAGAAAAAATGTGCCTATTCCATCAGCCCCTATGTTAATCCAGCCCTGCATACATATGATTTATATTTGACTTCACTTTTGGACATTATTGTGTTCTAAGGCATGGTTATTAGTGATGTCGCGAACCATGGATGCTGTCCAGGAGGTGGGAGAGTCTGGGAGGGAGGGTCTGCCGGAGATTGGCAGGGATGTGTCAGCCGACCGGAGTTCGCCGCGAACGGTTCGCGACATCACTAATGGTTATGTATTACTAGCAGTACAGCTTACTAAAAATGTCAACTAAATGTAAAAAAAATGTCTGTTTTTGTGAGTAATGCCCACATGCAATAAATACAGTTAAATCTTATATTTCTAAAATAATGTTGGAATGAACACATATCAAAAGAACCAAAACAACTTTGATCGCAAAGCACAGAATATCAAAAATCCTCGGTCACATAGAGGTAGAGAGTTACACTATGGTTGTAAAGTTTGACATGTTTACCTTTATATTGAACAGACATTTCAAAACATTCATTGAAATCTCCAGTGCAGAGCATGTCTGCATAAGCAGTGCAATTTAAATTGTAGGAAGTGATGCAATAAGGACAGGACTTTCCGTTTCTCTCAAAATTCGTAATTGGCGGTACTAAAAAGGGAAAATAAAAATTGAAACCAGCAAAAAACAATTTCCTTATTATCATTGCAATTCATTTAACATGTAAATCAATGGGCTGTCTTAGATTAATTAACCTTCTATATAAATAGGTTTTAATTTTGCTAATGGAAAAATATTAAAATCAAAATTTACATAGAAACATAGAATGTGATGGCAGATAAGAACCATTCGGCCCATCTAGTCTGCCCAATTTTCTAAATACTTTCATTAGTCCCTGGCCTTATCTTATAGTTAGGATAGCCTTATGCCTATCCCACGCATGCTTAAACTCCTCTACTGTGTTAACCTCTACCACTTCAGCTGGAAGGCTATTCCATGCATCCACTACCCTCTCAGTAAAGTAATACTTCCTGATATTATTTTTAAACCTTTGCCCCTCTAATTTAAGACTATGTCCTCTTGTTGTGGTAGTTTTTCTTCTTTTAAATATAGTCTCCTCCTTTACTGTGTTGATTGCCTTTATGTATTTAAATGTTTCTATCATATCCCCCCTGTCTCGTCTTTCCTCCAAGCTATACATGTTAAGATCCTTTAACCTTTCCTGGTAAGTTTTATCCCGCAATCCATGAACCAGTTTAGTAGCCCTTCTCTGAACCCTCTCTAAGGTATCAATATCCTTCTGAAGATACGGTCTCCAGTACTGTGTACAATACTCCAAGTGAGGTCTCACCAGTGTTCTGTACAATGGCATGAGCACTTCCCTCTTTCTACTGCTAATACCTCTCCCTATACAACCAAGCATTCTGCTAGCATTTCCTGCTGCTCTATTACATTGTCTGCCTACCTTTAAGTCATCAGAAATAATCACCCCTAAATCCCTTCCTCATATGTTGAGGTTATTCGGGTATCAAATACTCTATACTCTGCTCTTGGGTTTTTATGCCCAAGATGAATTATCTTGCACTTATCCACATTAAATGTCAGCTCTGAACAATTTGTTGGCTAAAAATAAACTTTTAGAGACTAATACAGCTGTCCCTCCATACTCATTGCCAGGGAAATAAGTAGGCCAGGCCCTAGTGCAAAGATCAAAGAAGGGTTCCCCCTATTACCTCTCCTTGCTCCCCCTTAGTAAAACACCTGAGTGGGATGTGTGTGACTGGTGGCTAAGTGTGATTGTGCGAGTGTTGGCTGAGTGTGATTTTATGTTGGGCTTGGCTGAGTGTGATATGTATGGGTAGAGTTAGCGGAGTGTGATTGCGTGTGTGTGTTTGTCTCGCTGAGTGTGACTGTACATGGGGTTTGATTGTGTGTGAATGTAATTGTCCCTGCTTGGGTTCATTTCCTTAAGCAGGGCAATCCCCCGTGCTGACGATAACATGCTTGCTTCACTGCCAGCACACTGGCGTCAGTGCATCTCATACTCCCCCAGCAAGCGCCTATTACTCAATCTATGAAAATAGAGCAAGAGGACTGCCTGTCACTCAAACTATGGCACTAGACCTGGTGTGCCACTAGCACACCAGATCTAATGTTCAGAATTTCATTGACAGGTATGGGAGGGACCATATTTTTAAAGAGCTTTAAATTAAAACCTATACATGTACAATGTACACATGGAATGGAATGCTCTTTAATATACACATTTCGCATATACAATTTAAAATAATACACATTTATTAATAATACATGCACATGTGTATATATATACTGTGTATATGCACATGCATATATACACATGTACACACATATATGCATTTTTCTACAAATCACATGAAGTGAGTGAAACTATTTTTTTTTCATTAAACACTTTCATCCTTTTAAGCACACAGTTACTGACCCATACATACACTCATTGGCACACAGAGTGTTTGACCAACATACACTTTCACTGACAGACACATGCATTCTCACTGACAGGCACACACTCACATACACTCACTGATAGACATACACTTACTGACAAACATGCTCACTGACAGACACACATTGACATACACTCAATATTACACATTCACTGACAGACACACACTGTCATACCCTTGACAGAGACTCACAGACACACACTGATAGACTGATAAGAACTCTTGCTGACAGACATTCTCACTGATTTGACACACTCATACACATACACATTCTCCCACACACTCACTTTTATTTATATATATATATATTTTTAATTTTTATTTAGCCCATCCAGCTGTCATACTTACCCCATTGGCTCAATGTGAATCCTTTACCTGGGGACCAATGGGAATCCTGTCCCTGTGGACCAGTGTGTAATCTGACAGCCAGACACCTCCTGGAGGCCCTAAGGTGGCCATTCAGCTAGCTCATGGTCCCACTGTAACAGACGAAACACAGAGGGCCCTGTCGCACTGCTGACCTTAGTAATCCTGTACTTCTACCATTGTTCATGACTGGTATTGCATTCTGTAGAGGAGAGCAGTGATAGCAGTGCTTCTTCTCCGCTGGTTACTCCAACAGCTACTCAGGAGCAAACAGGGAAGGGATTATCCTTGTGACAGAACCATCCGTCTCACTATTGTGGTGGATTCGTCTGTTTCCTGCACTTTCGTGTAAATGGCTGTTTTCTATAGCCCAGCCATACGAATGACTATTTTTTCGCCGAACAAAGCTACTGAACGGATGGCCACCCAGGAGAGAAGTGTGCTGCTGGTTAACCTATTGATCCCAATTAGAACATTGTGGTTAACCGCAGACACTTCTCAATTAAACCGAATTCAGGGTGGCCGTCGTTCGTATGTCGCCCACGAGGCAGCGGCCATTTTAAAACACACGAAAGCCCAGCGGTGTTCGGCTCTATTTTCATGGAACTAAAAACAGACAATTTTTCTGCCGAACACCGCTGAAACAACGGGACGCCTGGCTGCCTCCACGAAAACGTACGAACACCGGCCGTTCGGGAGTTTTACAGCACATAAAAGACTTTAACCCAGATAGCCCTCCCATGGAGTCAATCGCACACCGAAAGACTGTAAGAACTTTGACTCCATGGCGATTGAACTATGTGTGTGGGATCTGGGCGCTATTCGCCAATAATATGCACTCAAATCCAGGCTATCTGGGGATATGTGATGCGAATGAGAAATGTTCGGTTATTTTCAAATTATGTATTTTTATGTGTTTTCTGCTTTTATATCTAAGATGGCGATTTGTCTTTGTCCTGGAGATAATTGAATTACTTCTCAATTATCTCCAGGGCAGAGGGGAGGAGACCATATTGCATTGTGGGAAAAGCTTGTGACTGTATGTCTGTTATGTCCTCATGTCCATCTGTAATTACAGTCTCCCATTTGGTCCCCTAGGGGAGCGTCCACCAAGTGGGAGACCTGCATAAATACGGGCAGGTAGCCCACAGTAAATGCAGATCCTGTTTGACCCTCAATGCGGAGATTCTGTCTCGTTATTGGGGGGATTCTTATTGCGCTTAGAGACTGATTTATGGAACCGAGAGCCGCTCGGTGGATATCGTTGTTCGGTGGTTAGCAGCGGTTTGTGGATTTCCGTTCGGGAGTTTGGAGCCTTCTCACGGATCACGGTCGGGAGATTACCTTTTCCCCTGGTTATGGTTCGTGTAATACAATTGATGCGAATGGATTATTGATATTGCGAAAGGGGAAGGTGAACTAAACGGCGGTTTCTCTTAAAGACACCAGAGGTGTCTTCACAATCCTGTTTTGTGTAGGAGTATTATGGGCATTTTTGACTATATCTAAATTGTATAAAAGCAGGCTATCTGACCAGATTAAAGCATTCCAGCTTGTACTCCCAGAACTATGTGTCGTCTGGTTACTGGGAGGGATAGGGATAAGCTTGTTCCAGTGTGGAGGATTCAACAGTTAAAGTCCTTGTAAAGATTAGAGCTCCCAGGACTGAGTGTTGTCCAATGCCTGGGGGTGAATAGAGCAAGTTCCCCATTGGGCTCCAGGAGGGAGTGATTCAAAGACCCCAGTCAAGCTACGTCGACTGTGTGTAGAAGTGCTGCAGTTTGTCCCTGTTCTAGCTAGGAAGTGGTCCTTGGCGAAGGTACCCAGCCAGCTCCATTACAAAGAGCAATGCTAAAGTAGGTATAGTATCCTTCACTAAAAGATGGTTAAGGCGTATCTGGGATTTGCCGGTCAATCGGAGCATTGGTTGATGTTCCTGGACTTCCTGAAAATCAGGGTTATCCATAATGGTGATATACCTGGAGACAATGACCAAATAGACCTATATTTTCTCCATATTTTGAGCGTGTTTGTAATTAAAGGGTGTAAAAATGGACAAAGCCTATGAATATTAGTAGTCAACCAGGGCATAACATACAATGGGGTTGCGGCAAAACTCTGTTCAATTGAGTACCAGGATTTCTTATATTCTATTTTGGTCCATTCCCGTAATCTGACCAGTACTGCAGCTATATAATACTGCTGTATATTAGATATCCCAGTCCCCCCTTGTAGGTGCTTCTAGTTAATATATGATAGGCAATTCTTGGGTGTTTATGCCCCTACCCCCCAATTATATGTAATAAAAAGGGCTTTGAGTTTTGCAAAAAAGTATCGTGGAACATAAAAGGCAATGTCTGCAACATGTATATAGTAGTCTAGGAAGATGTCAGGATTCTGTCCTGACAACCAAGAATTATGTTTCTTTTATTTCTGTTTCTTTAAAACATGTTCCAGTTTTTTCTCCACTAGTGGCCTCCCTAACCACTTCTCTAAACAAAGATTCTATCACCCGCCTAACATAATCATTTCAACCTGCTCTAAGAGGTTACACTCTGCTAGGTAAAGTTTATATCCTGACTGGGGCTTATTGTATAAACCCTCTAATTCAAAACCCACTTTATACTTACCTGTAACTTTTTTTATAGGTTGTAATTGTTCCCTCTGTCCTATAACTTCATGTATAGGCTTTATTTAGTATTTGACCTGTTTTTAGGCTTATTTCCTATCCCTCTATTTTGTATTCTCCTTTTTGCTTTCAATTCCCTTTTAGTCCGGCTACGCTTATTGTTTTAAGCAAAACATGTCTAAGAATTCTAATAAAGAACCTAAAGTTAACCTCAGATTGAGTCTCATATCTGACCTTACCAGAAGCATGACAAAAGAGTCATCATTTTTAAAATGTTAACACGACCCGTCAAGGTAAAATAAGGCAGGTTCCATTTGGAGAGGTCCAATTTAAAAGCCTTTGAATAGAATTAAAAAAAAGCTACTTAATATTCAAGCCCTTGATCTTGTTCAACTAACTAGGGGAACTTTTTACTTGCATGGAAATAAATGCTGTAAAACATTGGTAAAGGCACTTAAACATAAACGCCATGCAATAGGAAAGAGTAATATAACAACCTTAGTTGGTATATATGTTCCAGGAGCTGATCCACCTAAAATGGCTTTGCAAATCAACTCCAATATTGTCTGAAAGGAGCTGGAAGAAATGAAATAAATGCAGTAAAACTATATGGTGTATACACCTTTAAATCTGCTATAGGCAGAGTAAATGGAGTGAGCACCAGATACTATACTTTACACATACCAACTCCAAAATGTTTGAGAAACAGTATATGAGACTGTTCTCTCTGGTAATGAAAGATAAAGGAATTAAATCACATAAAATATTGTGTGCAATATTACTATGTATGGTGTCTGCACCTTTAAGTCTATTATAGAATAGACAGAATAGGGCATTCACCCAAAACTACTGTACTTTTAAAAAAGATATAAACCTTAAAACAGGAGTACAGTATTGAAGACTGCTCCTATAATGCAATAATGTTATCGCTTAAAAATAACCACGTAGGGGAAAAAAAAAAGAGCTTAAAATGAATAAATCAAATTTATTAAAAAATAGATAATGAAAAGTAATAATAATAAAGATATAGATTAATTAAAATACCAAAATATAAGTCAGGAACGAAAGGCAAGAATGTTACCAGCACAATTGTAGTCCTTGTTAGCAAGTTGTATCTGGGGCCGGCCAGGATGGATGTGGATACTATGTGTCACCAATAGTTCTCTCTGGCTGTCGGCTTACAGTGAGGTCGGCGTGCGTCTCAGACCTCACTCTGAGAACTGCACGCTGCAGCCCGATCGGTCCCCAGCTCGTGCAGGCTTCTTTCAGTGTGTCCAAGGTCCTACTGCCGAGTAACCTTCTGCCACCGTATCCTGCTTGCAAATCTGACGCGTTTCGTGGGTGTCCGCCCCACTTCTTCAGAGATAGAAGATCTTCTATCTCTGAAGAAGTGGGGCGGACACCCACGAAACGCGTCAGATTTGCAAGCAGGATACGGTGGCAGAAGGTTACTCGGCAGTAGGACCTTGGACACACTGAAAGAAGCCTGCACGAGCTGGGGACCGATCGGGCTGCAGCGTGCAGTTCTCAGAGTGAGGTCTGAGACGCACGCCGACCTCACTGTAAGCCGACAGCCAGAGAGAACTATTGGTGACACATAGTATCCACATCCATCCTGGCCGGCCCCAGATACAACTTGCTAACAAGGACTACAATTGTGCTGGTAACATTCTTGCCTTTCGTTCCTGACTTATATTTTGGTATTTTAATTAATCTATATCTTTATTATTATTACTTTTCATTATCTATTTTTTAATAAATTTGATTTATTCATTTTAAGCTCTTTTTTTTTTCCCCTACGTGGTTATTTTTAAGCGATAACATTATTGCATTATAGGAGCAGTCTTCAATACTGTACTCCTGTTTTAAGGTTTATATCTTTTTTAAAAGTACAGTAGTTTTGGGTGAATGCCCTATTCTGTCTATTCTATAATAGACTTAAAGGTGCAGACACCATACATAGTAATATTGCACACAATATTTTATGTGATTTAATTCCTTTATCTTTCATTACCAGAGAGAACAGTCTCATATACTGTTTCTCAAACATTTTGGAGTTGGTATGTGTAAAGTATAGTATCTGGTGCTCACTCCATTTACTCTGCCTATAGCAGATTTAAAGGTGTATACACCATATAGTTTTACTGCATTTATTTCATTTCTTCCAGCTCCTTTCAGACAATATTGGAGTTGATTTGCAAAGCCATTTTAGGTGGATCAGCTCCTGGAACATATATACCAACTAAGGTTGTTATATTACTCTTTCCTATTACCAAACCTCTTAAGACAGGTGTGGTGAATTCCTGTATTTATCCAGTTTTGAGCAATTTACCTAAGTCTGATTCCCTCAAACCTGTGTGTTGCATTAGGCATACCAGTCTTTTTCATAAACGCCATGCAGCTTATATAGCAAAAATAACAGACAGCGCAGGTATATCACATTTTACTACAGATCATATAGCTCAAACATTTCACTCTTACTACCAGACTCTTTACAATCTTCCACAAAAGTCGATATCACAAAACCTAGTCATTGATTATCTCAGAACTAGCCTGACGCATAAGATACCAGCAGACAAAGTTACTATTATGGAGGAACCTTTCACTAACTTAGCATTTACCAAGGCACTGAACTCAAGCCCAACTGGGAAAAGCCAGAGCCTGATGGTCTAACGAATCTAGATTCTTTTTGTTAAAGAAACACTAAAAATGTTAAAAGAAAAAGAAAAGTATATTGAATCAATGCTTTCTTATGGGTGATTGGAAGATGCTGGACTTTCCCGTGCAAAGTTTGTATGGAGTTTTCATGTCCTTTATCAGGTATAACGATAAAGGCATCATGCTAAAATAATGCAATGTATTATAAATCGTTAGGTTGATACTTACAGGTGGGTATTGTGGATGTACAGTTGTCTTCATTGCAGCAGGTGGTGCTCAGTCTGACTGCACTTGTATTTGACACATATGTTGCAGATTTATCACACTGACTCTTTTCAATACAGGTTCGGGATGTATCACTAGAGGCTGCAAACAAATACAGAAAGGAAGTCAGGATTCAGTCTGCTCTTTGTTTATAAAATTTGGAAACTACTAAATATTTTTCTGAACCAACAGCTTAAAATCCAATACTATAACATTCAAAGAGCAAATCCATTCTGTGACTGTTCTGTTTAGTTTAAAGCTAACTTGGAGAGGTGGGACAGAGAGAAGTGGACAGCATTCTGAACCTATTGTTCTAGGAATTGGCTTCCCTGCCACCCCATTAAATCTTTTGTAATTGTTCCCCAATTCTGTAAACATTGACCTCTATTTATACAATGTGTTTTCCTATTTTCTGTCACTCCACTAATTCAAGTAGACTTATTAATGATATAAAATTGGATAACAAGGTGTTACTTACAACCATAACTATCTGTAGATACGGTAGCACAGGCATGTGTAGTGAAATCACAGCTCCTAGTTGTATTTTCAGTGCATGTTCCCTCTTTAACTGTGCATGTTAGACATGTTCCAGAGAACGCTGGGAAAAGAAAAAAAACAAAAAGTCAAAATTAAATTACTCATCACCAAATTAAAAATGTCAGTAGAGCATGTAATAAAATAGATATCATGTTTAATAACCTCTAATCATTGTTCTGAACACGTAATGATCAAACCGACCTCAGCACCAATTGTAGGACCTCACCTGGTCTTTCCATCAAGGACAGATTAATGGCTGAGCTAAAGAAATATTGTCCCAAGGACCTAATGTGTACTCGGAACCCAAATGTATTTATTTTTTTCTTATGTTTTTAATAATATGTTAACATGGATATGATGTTTTGCACCAGTGTTTAGTTAAACGATTTCACTGAGCTTATGCACTATTATGGTTATTCTCACGTTTTTCTCGTTGGAACACTTTTACTTTACAGCTGTCCCAGTAGTGACATATTGGAGCTAACACTCTGTAGCAGGCTAGTCTCGGACACAGGTGTTTCTGTGCTTTTACGATTCTGATCTCCTGATGTCTGGGAAGCATGAAGATGTAGAGTAAGCAAAGGTTTTTTGTTTTGGTTTTTTAATGTTTTTTTTAATTGAATGTATTTTATATGGTATATATGCAATAATATTAGGGGTGAGCGAGGGAGGTCTTGAAAAAGGACGAAATGGAATCCAAAACATTGACAGAGCTCCCTGCTCAATTTGAAGCAGCGGTGCAAGGAGTAGGTCTTCCCAGTTTACCATCAAGCCACACGAAAGAGAGGGAAGGACAATAGAAAGGAGGGAGAGCCTGGACCAGACTCCCATAAGACTCAGCCAGATGTCACTGGACCCCAGGGCAGCCACCCTCCTGCACCAAAAAAGTATGGAAGCAGTGGAAGTGGCTAACAACATGTTAATTATCTGTGTGTGTATATGTTATATATGTGTGTATGTGTAATCTGTGTGTATCTGTGTGTGCATATATGTTACATCTGTGTGTATGTGTTATCTGTGTTTGTATGTGTTAGCTGTGAGTGCATATATGTTATCTCTGTGTGTATGTGTTAGCTGTGTGTGTGTATTAATCTGTGTCTGCATGTGTCAGTACGTATCTGTGTGTGTGTATGAGTAAGTGTGTATGTGAATATGTGTCAGTGTGTGTATCTGTGTGTTTCAGTGTGCATGTGCATGCATCTCAGCAATCAAACGCCAACCATACATACAAACACATTCAAACATTAACACTAAACACAAGTACACTATTGCTTTCAAATAGCAATTGTAGATGCAAACATGCAACTGCATTCAAATGCCGACACTACACACAAATACATACATACATTTAAACATACAAAACATGCTTACATTCAAACAAACACTGCTTACAAATACAGCTCTGCAAAGATGGGCACTTGGTAGATCCGCAGCTGGAAAAGCATTGTTGGAGTTGTACTACAGATGGGGATCTACCTTTTAGCCCACAAAAAAATTTGCACCCTCTCTAAATTAGTTGTGTCACTGTGTTTAGTAGATAACTACCTTGTTTGCTATCGTTATGTGAGATTGCATAGTTAAGGATAGTTAAGGATAAATTAGCGAACTATCTAGAAAACAACACCCTCATTTGGTACCCCTTAATTTGTCGATCACAAGTGAGAGTGCCAAATTAGTAAACAGTTGTGTTTATGAGATAGCTCCCTAATTTTGTATCCTTATTTATGGCGTTAAGGTTAACGAGTGAGGGAGCTATCTACTAAACAACTCCCTAATTTTGTCAATTACATATAAGGGTACCAAAATAGGGAGCTGTTGTGTTTAGTAGATAGCTCTATAATTTGGTACCCTTACTTATGGCATTCCCATAAAGACCAAAATTAGGAAAATCACTTTTTCTGAATGTAGCTGTTTGAGTTGCTTAATACGTAAGTTCCTAATTTACTATCCTTATAAAATCAAACGGATCTCAAATTATTTGTTTCTTTTCCTTCCAATTTTGCTTGCTTTCAGTTTGTTACATTTTATAAAGAATGCAGAAATGTGTCCGCTTTCAAATTGCCGAATTCAGATGCAATAGGATTTGGAACTAAATGACTTGCAGATGTCTACTGGCTCGACATAGTTTTTATAATGTGTGCATCCAAGATACCGACATAGTGAATAATTGGCAGAACTCTGGTGTCTGTCAAATTGTGGACATCTCCTGTGCAATAGGCTGATGTAGAATCTATATAACTTATATATTACAACTAAAAAAGGTTATTTTACAATTGAAGAATGGGTTGCCAAGATGATACAGTAAGAAATGTCCCCTTCAAAAAAAGTCTTCTGTACTTCATCTTGCAAACCACTGTATATCGGAATTATGATACCTTGTTACATTCAAGATAAAACTGATCCACGCCACTAATTTAAACTATAACATTTAGATGCCCACTAACCCCAAATTCTTTCTTAAAAGCCCTTAACTTACCTGGAGCCAAAAGAGTTGACAAAAAACAAGCAACAAGTAGAGTACTCATTGTGTCCACAGGATGTTAGTCCAGAATGTAAGTGCTGTGTGCTGTGTATCTCGTGCATTGTCTTTTATATAGGAGTAAATTCTCTCATAAAATCTGTATAAAGAACAACCAGCGAGAGTCATTTATGGAGTGACTTTTCTAACATGCATGCAATGCAAAAACTAAGGAAATAATAAAGGTTTGAATGTTGCACTCTTAATGATACATAATATAAATAAAAACACAACAACTTCTAACATTTGGCAAATGGCCGTGACTTTTATTACGGATTTCACAATTCTTATTTAATATCCATAGTCATAATAATAATAATAATAATAATAAACATAACTTAAAATCAAACCAAATAACCATTAACCATTTCCAGGCTCTGCCCCATAAAGCCAGGAGCCATAAATATATATTTTCCAACCAAATCCACCCTCCTTTGATGCCCAGGAGGGTGACTTATATCCCAACGCCACTGAGGTTCTGGAAAACCAAACTCGGTGTTCCCCCCCCCCCAAAGCCCATCTCCACCATAGAGGGAATCAAACAAATTAAATATGTCTAATCCTATGTCTGACAAATGAATTGCATTGCACCTATAACCTGCACATGCCCTCAATATCACTATGCCTATATGAACGCAACCCTAACGCTGGCAAAAACTTCTCTAGAGCTCTATTTAACTTTCTGCTTATAGCTTATTTACAATAGCTTATTTTAAGCCATCAATGTCTTGCAATTATCTCTGACCAAATAAAGCGCACCACTGGAAAAATTTGTGCAACAAAAACCAAATTGTTCTTAATTTCTTGTAATAAGTTCACTGATTTTTTTAGCTCCAATGTCGTTACCCCCTAAATAAACTATAATTAAATCTGGATAAGGAAAAGGCGATAAACATTGTTGCAACATTTCCAATAACTGTGACCACGTGACACCATGGGTGCCTTTCCAAAATATTTTTACTAAAATATTTTTCAATCCAAGATTCTCTCCATATGTATGCTCCTGTGCCCTCTACTGGGCCTATACCACAAAAGAGAGACCAATAACCCTGGCAATTGCCAGCTTCTTATTTCCTAACAGAAAGAAAATATTAATATAGACCTCCATTGCATGAAAAAAACAATCATTATGAACCAATTACCACTTACACATGACATTCCTTGATCACAAACTCCCCCCCCCCCCTTTTTTTAATATATAAAATGAGGTCTGACATACAACTGGAATCTGTTGGAATACCATCTTTCCAGCTTTTTATTGATTTCATCACTAAGACCGCACCTCACCGCCTCTGTTGCAGCTCCAATCCTGAATGGATTTGGTGAATAGCGCTCTTTACCTAAACCTAATTTTGCCAAGCATACCTTAAAAACTTTTAAAAATGAAATTTAGTTAGTGGGCTAGAATCAACATGCAAAAAAGAATGGACCTTTCATTCTTGGTCACAGTAATAGATAATCCTTTATCACTCTCACTGGGCACATGGTTGAACCTTGAATGTTAAATAATGACAACCATCTACCTTTAACTTCTTGATCAGTTTTTGATTTACTAATAAATATCATAGCCTTCTTATTACTAACAATAATATCTTCCCACTGCAAACCTGATAAACAAAACTTACTTCTAGAAGCTAATTCCCCAATCCTTAACGCTGTAAAAAAGGCTATTATAAACAAACGGGGGAAACAGTAGTGCAGGGCTGCGCCAAATATGATAAATATAGTAAAAATGTATAAGTAGGAAGTACAGCGCACTATATCTTATCACAACGTAGGGATACAAAAGCATATAAATAAAGCATATATATAAAGTGCAATAAAAGGAGTTGTAATTAGAATATTACTTGTACATATAAAAAGTCAAAATGGTTCAGAATTGCGCTTTAGAGATAAATGCCTTTTATGGTTCTTTTGGAGATGTGGTATCCTCAGTGTTTATAGCAGTCCAATTGTTTCCATTGTATGAAAGACACAAAATGAAGGAGACCAATCGTATAGAATGTATGGACCAATATGAGTGAAGAGAAATATATATATATATATATATATATATATTCAACTCACATTTAAAAGAGCTATAGCCAGCTCAGGTTTGAAGGGCGTACAGCGGTATAATCTCCGCTTATAGGACATATGGTGGTAGTCTTCTGGGAGGGATGATGTCCAACACTCAGGATAGGGGTATATAAAAAACAACTTATAGTGCTCTCAGTGTATACAAGGTATAAAATGAACGTAAAATAAAAATATACTTACAGTATAGTGCAGGTAAACTGCACTATGATAACACCGTTGGTGGTATCATCCCCACCTCAGATAAACTTGTAGTCACTATAAAATAGGTAAACGCCAGGTAAAAATATTTTAAAAAAAACAAATTGTGTATAAAAAGATAATTGGTGCAGGATAGTAACCAAAAAAACTTTTAATTAAATAAAATACACAAACAATAAAACCATTACGCGTTTCGCCATTTTGGCTTTTTCAAATGGGATAAAATTAACAACCTGGCTAGTAGGGGTATATATAGGTACATAGTGATTTTGAAATTGGCGCCAGAAAAAGTCACTATTCAGCAGCCAATAGGATAAAAGTTATATATAACACATTAGCAAATGAAAATAAAAAGGCTTGTATTCAAGATGACGCTGAGCTGTGTCTACTGTAACTAACATAAAAAGTAAAATAGATACTGCACCACCCAGCAAGATACTAATAATAGGATCAATCTAAAAAAATATAAAATATAGTGCAAACTGTATATACACATAATAAACCCCTATATAGGATAAAACTCACCGGATGTAGAGCCGTCGCAGGCTCTATATGATGTGCAGGAGGCTAAAACGACATCCTGGATGGAAAGTACAGGAATCAAAGTAGTAAGACAAAAACTTATTGGTATACAATTAAAATAAGGGACAATAAAGCAGTGCTGAATATACAAAATGACTGTACAGGGCAAAAAACCTAAGCATACACTGCATGAATGTGTAAAAAGTCTAAAAAAATAATGAATATAAGTGTCAAATAGCTGACACATTTCTTTAGTGCTGCATTGCTGTCTCCTCGATGGCAATAAATAACCTTCCAAATCAATCTTTAACTCTACACGGCTGTGTTTCTTCCCATTTCTTGCGCGGCATGTCCGCATCATCACGCCACGCCCATCATGTGACGCAGCACGGGTGCATCAACCATCAAAGTGAGGGCAAAGTGGAAAAAGTCCCATATCTACTATGGGCAAAATGTCTTAGCAAATAGTCCGGAATTACAACATAGTATAATGGGGGAAAAACAACAACAATCAATACATACAGTTGCAAGAAAAGGTATGTGAACCCTTTGGAATGATATGGATTTCTGCACAAATTGGTCATAAAATGTGATCTGATCATCATTTAAGTCACAACAATAGACAATCACAGTCTGCTTAAACTAATAAACACACAAAGAATGAATTTATTGAACACACCATGTAAACACTCACATTGCAGGTGGAAAAAGTATGTGAACCCCTAGACTAATGACATCTCCAAGAGCTAATTGGAGTTAGATGTCAGCCAACTGGAGTCCAATCAATGAGATGAGATTGGAGGTGTTGGTTACAGCTGCTCTGCCCTTTTAAAAACACCCACCAGTTCTGGGTTTGCTTTTCACAAGAAGCATTGCCTGATGTGAATGATGCCTCACACAAAAGAGCTCTCAGAAGACCTACGATTAAGAATTGTTGACTTGCATAAAGCTGGAAAGGGTTATAAAAGTATCTCCAAAAGCCTTGCTGTTTATCAGTCCACGGTAAGACAAATTGTCTATAAATGGAGAAAGTTCAGCACTGCTGCTACTCTCCCTAGGAGTGGCCGTCCTGTAAAGATGACTGCAAGAGCACAACGCAGACTGCTCAATGAGGTGAAGAAGAATCCTAGAGTGTCAGCTAAAGACTTACAAAAGTCACTGGCAAATGCTAACATCCCTGTTAGCAAATCTACAATACGTAAAACACTAAACAAGAATGGATTTCATGGAAGGATACCACAGAGGAAGCCACTGCTGTCCAAACAAAACATTGCTGCACGTTTACAGTTTGCACAAGAGCACCTGGATGTTCCACAGCAATACTGGCAAAATATTCTGTGGACAGATGAAACCAAAGTTGAGTTGTTTGGAAGAAACACACAACACTATGTGTGGTGAAAAAAAGGCACAGCACACCAACATCAAAACCTCATCCCAACTGTGAAGTATGGTGGTGGGGGCATCATGGTTTGGGGCTGCTTTGCTGCATCAGGGCCTGGACGGATTGCTATCATAGAAGGAAAAATGAATTCCCAGGTTTATCAAGACATTTTGCAGAAGAACTTAAGGCCATCTGTCTACCAGCTGAAGCTCAACAGAAGATGGGTGTTGCAACAGGACAATGACCCAAAGCATAGAAGTAAATCAACAACAGAATGGCTTAAACAGAAGAAAATACGCCTTCTGAAGTGGCCTAGTCAGAGTCCTGACCTCAACCTGATTGAGATGCTGTGGCATGACCTCAAGAAAGCGATTCACACCAGACATCCCAAAAATATGGCTGTACTGAAACAGTTCTGTACAGAGGAATGGTCAAGAATTACTCCTGACCGTTGTGCACGTCTGATCTGCAACTACAGGAAACGTTTGGTTGAAATTATTGCTGCCAAAGGAGGTTCAACCAGTTATTAAATCCAAGGGTTCACATACTTTTTCCACCTGCACTGTGAATGTTTACATGGTGTGTTCAATAAAAACATGGCAACATTTCATTCTTTGTGTGTCATTAGTTTAGACCGCAGGGCGTACTATTACGTCCTCTAAT